GTGTGTAGGTGCGTATGGTATGGATCTGGTGCCGAGACAGTTGGGGGTGGGGGGTGTTTGAGCTTGATCAGTGGCTTGAGGTTGGCGCAGACGACTGACTGCTATATAAGGTATGCTGGATGGACTTCGCGATGGGGATGTGGCGTCTTTCTGTCCGGATGATTTTCGTGCAAGGTCTGGGTTTCCATTGTGGGCTACGCTACGCTACGTCTTCTGGTAGGTATAGATGGATAGACACTGCTGTTGCGTGATGTGTAGGGAGTTGTGAAAGTGAAGCGGCAAATATATGTGACTGGTAGGTTGCTCTTCGCAAACTAACGTCTTGGATACTTGCGAAGTAGCTAGCTGGGTGAAGTAGGGGGTAGGTGGGCATAGTCTTAGGAAAGGGAGAGAGAGGAAAAGCAGATGTGTGGAAAGAAACTTAATCACCCGAATCCCCGCCCTATTACCCAAACTACGCTGCTGTCAGAGAGTTCCGCGGGTAACCCAGTCGACAGCCCGCCCGCTTGCTGGCGAGGCGGAAGTCTGCTATGATGGTGAAGTGGGAGAGGGGCGTTATGGCACTGACACACGTGACAAGCTAGGTGCTTCTATTGACCAAAAGAGCTATACCCCTACAAGCAAGCAACTCCATCGTTCGTATACCGTCGTATACGCACCCAAGTACCCTTGACTCGGTAGCGTCCGAGAGAAGGCACCTATTGCCCAGAGGCCTTGCAACGAATCGCGTATTCCCCTGTCCCACTTGCACAACGCCGACGCACGGTGACACTAGAGGGCCGGCCAGGACATTTTGGGGGCGCTCGCAGGTAGGAGTAAATAGGTCGGGTGCACCGGGCCTCCGGCTCTCCGGCACGTCCGTACATACCTAGGTACATACCTCACCTACAATAGGTCAGGGAACGCATAAACGATGGCAGGAACGAGCCAGCGTGCATCCCGCGTAAATATAGAAACTCGGGCCCTATAACTAGGTATTGACTTGGGGGTGCAAGTCCGCTCAAATCCGACGAGCAACGACCGACCGACCGACCGACCGACCGACCCGACGAAGCATTGATGATGAGCATGAGCAGCAGCATGGACATTGGACGTCCCAAGCCCAGTCCCGCGAGAACGCGTAACGGCGGCACCAGCAGCAAAGCAACAACGCTCAGTCCAGCTCAGTCGACCGCGCCGATCCCGCTCGCCCATCAATCTCGATCCGAAGCAGCAGGTCGCGCCGGGCGGATGCAACAGTAGAGTCGCACGGCGGCGTGGCAGTGGGATCGAAAGAAAGGATGGGATCCGGATGGCAAACAAGAGAGACCTGACGCGACGACGGCCGCCTCGCCTCGCCGCGCGCGAAACGCTCAGGCGCTCCAACAAGACAAACACGCTGACGTCTGCCCCGCCCCTTGTTCTTCCTTTCTCCACCAAGGCTAAACCACGCCCTGACGCAACCCTAGAGTAGTAGCGCAACGCCCGCAACTTGCAACGGCCGGGAAAGACGACGCGGTGCGGCGGGCCATTTGGGCCCGGGGGGGAGGTGCCCGCCCAGCGCCCAGGCGACAAGGGGCGAGTCGGCTGTGCGAGCCGCTTCTAGAACGCCTAGGCGCTGATCCCGCTTGCGTCTGGCTGCTGAGAGCGAGGGCCGGGGTACGTCATTATGCGGGGGAGGGCGGTGGCGGGAATGCATGGGCGGGCGCTCTTATATCATCATCATCATCATCATCATCAGTGTATGCATAGGGAAGGGAGCTACTTACTGCTTAGTTCCTGAAGACAACTACCTATTCTACATAACAAACAATCAAACACATGCCCAAGTATCCGCACACACACGCAGAAATCAACGAGTACCCCGACGATACCACCACTTCTGATTCATCTTCCACCGCAAACATGACCGACAACACCGACACCAACAAGCAAGCCCAGCAAGCCCAGCAGGGCGGTGGTAAGCACTTCCTCCACAGCACTGCCCACCTCCCCTCTCTCTCCAAAACCCCAGACTAAACGGCCACTAACCAGGAGGCTTCCTCTCGAACCTAGGCGGCGTCCTAGGCGGCGCGACTAACACGCTCGGCCGGGGCATCGGCGGCGCGACGACGACGCTGGGCGACACGGTGGGCACGCTGGGCAAGGGCGTGGGCGACACGGTCGGCGGCGTCACGCAGGGCGTCGGCGACCTGACCAAGGGCGTCGGCAACACGGCCAAGAGCGGCACGGATAAGATTGGGGGTGCGTTTGGAGGTGGCAATGCTGCTGGTGCTGGCGCGGGCGCGGACAAGAAGCAGTGAGTGAGAGTGAGGTTGGATGGGGGAGGGGAGCAGCTACTACCTACTTACGGAGTACTGCTGGGTTTGTTTGCTATCATGATGTTATGATTGTTACGAGGGCGAGAGCGGCCAGACTGACTGCTGGGTTGGCTTGGTTCACTGCTGCTGCTGCTGCCGCCTGTCTACCTACCTATACGCCGTGGCTTCACTGCACGGGGGCTTTGCTTGTTTTCGCAGTACAAATAACGACGAATCAATTCCCTGAACACTACTACTCCTACCCCTAGTTTAATCGAGCCCTATACAAAAACACCTGAACTATCCATGGACAACCGTGACATCAACACCATCAACAACACTTCAACTACTCCCACCTCATTCCTAATTCCTCATTCCTCATTCCCTCTCAACTACGAAACCCATGCACCCCAGCAGCACACCGCTTCGCATCACATCGCATCACATGGCACGGCATGGCATGGCATGGCATAACCTCGCCTCGCATCACATCGCGGCTGCGGCTGCGGCTGCATAGCACACGTGGAACGCACGCGAGCGAGCGAGCGAGCCCAAAGCCAAAATGACGTGCATTAGTATGTACCTTATGTATGCAAGCATGCATGCATGTGTGCGGATCTAGCGCGCGTGCATGCTCGTACTTAGGCGAGAATTTTTTCTTGTTGTTCGTCGGCAGCGTGCAGTGTGCAGTCTGTAAACGGCCGCGGCTGCGCGCGTGCTTGGTTTGGAGGGTCGCGGCTGGGTTTGGGGTTGGATGGATGGATGGATGGATGGATGGATGGATGGATGTTTTGGGAGGAGGAGGGGGTGTGTGTTGGTGGGCGATGAGTACTCCGTACATATAACGACGACGACGACGACGACGACGATGGTGATAGCGATGAATGAATGAACGGGTGGTTCAATGAAGGTGGTACCTAGGTAGGTACGAGTAAGTAGGTAGTGGGTAGGAAGGTGTGGCAGGTACGGCCTACATAGATCGACGCAGGGCAGGGCAGATCAGAGCAGACAAGAACATCATCACGCAAAAGCAAATCACGTCCAATCACGTCAGGCACATACGCAGTAGATAGAAGATAGACGATCCCAATTAGCGCGCCTCTGTACGTACATACAAAGAACAGCAGTGTACCCAGCAACGGCAGCGACAGCGATGGAAGCAGCAACGATAGCAGCAACGACAGAGAAAGAGAAGGCGACAGCAACAACGACAACAGTCCCAAACGACTGTAGCGACGGCGGCGACTGTAATGGCGACAGCAACAGAGATAACAGCAGCAGCATCATCATCATCAGCGGCATCACCATCTCCACGCGTCCCCGTCTCGTCTATCACGTACAATACGTACCTACGTCCTCACATGTAATCGAGCGTGAAAGCCTTCCCTCCCGTCCATAGATAGATGGACAGATGGATGGCAGCAAAATATCAAAGAAAATAAAAAGGCAAGCCGAAAGCCCAGATCAACAACAGCAGCAGCAACATCAAGTACCTTCGTACGCAACAAAGAAGAAAAACAAGCAAGTAAAAACATTCCTTGAGAGTTGTTGTCGTCAGAAACATTGCCCTATCATTTGTCTTTTCTTGTCACTCATTCCTTTCTTCCTCTCTCTCTCTCTCTGCCTCGTCCTTAGTCGTCGTCGTAGCTCCTCAGTCAGTCAGTCGTCCGTCGTGGTCATTGCTTCCTCCACCACCGCGTGTGCTGTCGTACCACTACCGAGAGGAAGGCTGACAGCAAGCATACATCCCACCGCCCCCAAACAGCCCCTTATAAACCGAGAAGCAGGGCAGCAGAAAAAGGAAAAAGGGTGAAAGAGAAACGAGTCCGTCCCATAAGACGCAACAACTTCCATCACGACCGTTAATCCGTTCATATTCAGACCTGACCCCGGGGTCATCTCTCGTCAGCCGAGTCGAGAGGCAATCTCTGCATGGTCGAGCCGGAAAAGATAGGTAGTTGCGGTCGTGGTGATCGTTTCGTCTCTATATCAGACATCGCAGATGCCCGCCCGGTGCCGAAAGAAACACAACAGCCAGTTCCGACCAGGAAACTGCGCTGCCTCAGCCCCAGACGTGCAAACTCGAAAAAAAGGTGATTTGACACGAAAATGGAAAGGAAGCAGGAAAACGTCGGTCCATTAAAGGAGGAAAGAAGAGGAAAACGGGGAAAAGGTGCATAAAAGCAAAACGCCACCATAAACCCCGTATTGGGTCGTCGCAGTAAAGAGATAGAAAAGCAGAGGACATCACATCGCAGCGACCGCAGCCGGTGGCCCTGTCCTTTTTTGTCCACCCGCCTGTCGTCGCAAAAAGAAGAAAAAACGTCAAAGGAAGCAACTTTTTCTCTTAACACATGAATTGTGAATCAGAGGACCCCACGAAAATGCAAGTCACAGATGCGCAAGCAAGCCCCGTCTATGCTGAGCGGAAGAAACCAGTCGAAGGACGCCAACGTGAAAGCCGTCCCTTCTGGTGAGAAGAGCGGATGCAGGATCAAAAAGAAGGGTCGCCTACGAGGCGGGTGCCTCCTTCTTCTCCTCGGTGGCCGGTTGGACCTTCGCTGCGGGCGGCGAGGTGGCGTCATGTTCGGGAGAGGGGCCTTCGTCTCCACCCTCGAGAGCTGCGAGAGCACTACTAGAGATTAGTATACTTGCAGGCATGTACGTGTCAAAGAATCCCTTACCTGAACGAGTTGATGTGGTGGGTCGAGGCAGGCTCCTTGTCCTTGACGGGGGGCGTGCCAGTCCGCGAAGAGTTACCAGAGTCGTCACCACCACGGCCCAGGCTGCCACCGGGACCAAGGCCGCGACGGCCGCTGCCGCTACGGCTAGTGAACATGGACGAGGGACCAAAGGTGCCGGGGCCAGAGCTCGACGCGCGACCAGAGGCGTTCTTGGACAGTTTCCTCAGATCATCCATGCCAAGGGTGTTGCGGTTGTAGTCGGGAGGAGGCGCCATGCCGCCACCAGAGAACGAACGGGCATCACCGCGGCCCATTGCCATGCGGCCGCCGCCACCACGCTGGCTGCTCTTCATCTTCTCGAGCTCTGCCGCCTGCTGAGCAGCCGCCGCCTCCTCGCGAATCTCTTGGATGGTCTTGGGACCCTTGGCGTCGTCCTTGGACCTCCACCCCTTCCTGCGCAGCTCAACGGTGTCGAGCAACATGAAGTGCATACGACTGGGCAGGCCAGGCATGTTCATGACCTTCTCGATGCGCTCAAAGTAAGCGCGGATCATGTGCGCACCCTTCTCGTCCGACTCCATGGTCGCACCAACGGTCCTGAGAAGCTTGACGAGCGATTCGACGTTGGACTCATCGGGCATGCCCTCGAAGTTGAGCAGACGCATGACACACTCGTGCATGATCCTGACCGTCAACATGCCAAGCTTGTAGAGCTCACCAATGAACTGGATGAGACCCAAGCCCTTTCTCTTGGCAGCGGCGGCAACGTAGTACTCGTCGGACATCATGGCCACCTCCTCACCGCCCTCGCTCTCCTTCTTGACGGGCAGGTTGCTCTCCCAGCCCTGCTCGAAGTCTTCTTGACAGCGGTTGAGCAGGTACTTCCTGAAGAGGTTACCGCCAACAACAGGGTTGCCGTTCTTGTCCCTGACTTTCTCGTCCCTGACCTCGGGCGACATGGTCTCAAGCATGCGCTTGCAGAACTTGGCGTACATCGAAGCCCAGTGAGCCTCGTCGCAAGCCTTCTCGAACGTGAGCTGAATGACCTGTCTGAGCGTGCGACCGTCGGTCTCCTGCTCAGACTGCTTGGCAATCTCGAGGATCTGGTCGGCAATCCTGTCGAACTTCTCGGGGGTCATCTTGTTAAGAGCAGCCTTGACCTTCCTCTGGACAAGGTCAGGAGCAAGGTTGCCAGTGGGAGCCTGAGCAGCCGCGGGCTGGGTAAGACTGGTGGGGACCCAACCGCTGGTAGACCTTTCAAGAGGCTTCAACTCCATGTTGGCAGTAAGAGGCATGTTCTGAGCTGCCTTCTCCTCGTCGCGCCTGCTCTGGCCACGACCGCCAGTGCGGCTAGTGCCCTTGCGGGTGCTGCCCGAGCGAGGCGAAGAAGCAGCGGGCATGCTGTAAGACGAGGAGCGGACTGCGCCGCTGCCCATGGGGAAACCGCCACGGCCACCAGCAAGGCTGGCAAGAGGGTTGTTCACAGGAGGGCGAGAGGCCATGCCCTGAGACATCTGGAAGCGGTGCTCAGAGGTAGTGCCAGGAGGCAAGGTAAGTCCACCAGCAGCTCCGAAGTTGCCCATGCGTCCAACTGAGCCGCCAACACCACTGATGGGGCGCGAGTTTGACCTGCCGCCGAGAGACGAAGGCGTGCGGGCAGAGCCGGGACGAGCAGATTCGGAGCCATCGCCGACAGTCTCCTTCAGCTTGTTGTCCCAATCAACAGATGGCTTCTCCTTGAAGACCTCCTGGAACTGAAGCAAGAAGTCCTTGTCGTACTGACGGCCCTTGGTCTTGCCGCCCTGGTTGAGCGCAGGGTTGGGCGACTTGATGCCAGAGGGATACTTGATGTCCTGGCTCTGGACCTGGAGGAAACGAGCGGACTTGAGAGCCTGCATACCAGGGGTAGGCGCAGGAGGCTCAATGGGCTTCTTGGTCTCAAGCTTGAGCGCCGCGGGCTTGGGCTTGGCAGCAGCCGCCTTGGAAGCAGGCTGCGCAGGCGGGGGCATGGCAGCCTCAGCCTCAGCGGCAGCGGCCGCGGGTCCAAAAGTGGGCTTCTTGAGGGAAGCGAAGAGGGCCTTGGCCTCTGCGCTCTCGTCTTTGTTGGCACCCTGCTCCTTGGCCAACTCACGCTCTTCAGCTTCACGCTCAAGACGCTTCATCTCTTCGTCAGCCTTAGCTGCCGCTTCAGCCTCCTTGGCTGCGGCCGCCTCCTTCTCCTTCTTCTTCTTCTCCTGGAAGGCCTTCTCACGCTCTTCTTCCTCGCGCTCGGCAGCCTCCATCTCGGCGATTTCGCGCTCAAGGCGCTCATCTTCCTCACGCTGCAGGCGCTCCTTCTCTTCCTGCTCCTTGGCCTTGCGCTCCTCTTCTTTAGCGGCCGCCTCCTTGGCCGCAGCCTCAGCCTCCTTGGCCTTAGCCTCGGCCTCCTTGGCCTTAGCCTCGGCCTCCTCTTTCTCCTTAGCAGCCTTCGCCTCAGCTTCCTCCTTGTCTTTGGCAGCCTTGGCGTCGGCTTCTTCCTTCTCCTTGGCCGCCTTGGCAGCCTCTGACCTTTTCCGCTCTTCCTCCTTCTCAGCTGCAAGCTGCTTCTTGAATTCTTCCTGGAAAGCGGCCCTCTTCTCCTCGTCCGTCTTGACCGTACTTTCGGCGCGGCCGTGCTGCGAACCAGTGGCGCTGGGTGCGCGAGGAGGGGGGGTAGGGGTGGAGGAAACGACAATGGGGGACTTTGAGGGCGTAGGAGCGGGCGAAGCCGACTTCTTCAGGTCCAGAACCTCACCGTCAGGGTTCTTGATTACAATTGCCTTGCTCTGGCGCTTCGCGGGTATCGTGAAGTTTGAGGTGGGTGCGGGGCTGCTAGAGCTTTGGCTGGGAGTGTGAGCGACATGGCTAGCGGCAGCCATAGATGGCGTCTGCGGCTGGCCCATGGTCGATGGAGGCCTTTCGGAGACCTGCGAGGAGGTGCGGGACATGCCCGGAGCGTGTGGGGCGGCGCCGTACTGGCCCTGGATGTACTGGGGCTGGAAGGGACGCGGGCTGGGAGGAGCAGCACCTTGGAACGGCATGCCCGGTTGCATGCCGTAGGGGGTTTGGTAAGCTGCGTAGGGATTGAAGGCGGTCGGGTCAAGATGCTGTTGGGGCATCCCGTAGAAAGGTTGGGCCTGTAAAGTCGTTAAAAAGCGTTCGAAACCGCCGCTTGCTGGCGAAACATCAGGTAGAGAAGGTTGAGTTGAGTGGTTGTTTTCAGGTTGAGCAGGTTGAGAAGGGGAGTGTTGAAGAGAATGGTTGGTGGTGGTGCCACCAGCCGAAACAGAAAATTTAGTTGCTGAAACACGTGCTGATTGCTGTGGCGAAGGAGATTGGGTATTTACGTTCGGCTGAAATTGTTGCGGATAGCCGCCGTAGGGCATTTGCGGCTGACCGGCAAACTGGGCCTGCGGCTGCATCGTCGCGGGCGCCATCGCTGGGCTGCGATTTTGACGGTAGGGAGAGCCCATCGGGCCCTGACCCTGGAACTGGCCGGGCATGGGGCCGCGAGGAACGTTGGCAGGCTGACGGAACTGCGGTACAGGCGAAGGAGCACCGTAACCGCCGTTGTAACCTCTGCCGCGTCCTGCCTGCGGAACAAAGTTCCGGTTCGCACTCATGTCACTGTGTGCGGATTGCGACGATTCTCTGCGGAGGTGCTGCGCTTGGGGCAAAGGAGGACCCTGAGGCATCGAGACCGGTCGCGACTGGTTCTTAAGAAATATTCATCAGTCAAATCCAAAATTTACATGCATTGGGAAGACCCGAAGGCCGTAAGGTGCGCACGTCGAATGAGGTGGTTGGGAAGGGGAAAGTTCCTCAAGGTGAGGCGAAGTGAGGTCAACTTACGTTTTGGCCACCGCCCATGCTTCCGAAGCTCAAGCCATTCCCTTGTCCCTGCAGCCCCGACGGCGGACGACCGCCACTTGCAGGCGGCTGAGGGATAGGCGACGGCGAGGTGGCTGGCGACGTGATGCGCGGGTTGCTCGCGGGCGCAGCTGCGTTGGCAGGAGCCTGGGGCACGCTGTTCGCAGGGGCCGGGGAGCCTCCGGCGTTCATGGAGCCGAAGCTGATGTTGGGCCTGTTGTTTGCACCGTTGGCCATGGGACCACTCGAACCAGCGGCACTAATCGTCATTGATGAGGGTTTCCTGCCGTGGCCAGCACCGTTGGCAATTGTCGGACCAACAGCCGGAACCGCGGGGGGGATAGAGCCCTTGCCGTTCACGACCGAGTTCGACTTGCCATGCTGAGCACTACCCACTGCCACTTGCGGAGTGCTAGACGCGATCGCGGGAGGCGAAACGGACTTCTTTGTCGCACTGGCGTATGACTTGGCAGTGGGCTGCGCGGCGCCAGCGACCGAAGGCGACGTCGTTCCTGAGGCGGAGTTGGAAGCGGCGTTTGCGTTCTGCGCGGCGGATTGTGTGGGAATCGCGGTCGGGATCGTGCTTGTCATTTATCCGTTCGTGAGGAGTTGTGGTGAGAGAGGATAGTGTTGAGAGGCGGAGAGGAGGGCGATTGCGAAGGTCGAGTCCGGGTCGCCGAGGATTAGAGTCTCACGGGGGAGTGGAGAGTCTGATGCGGCGAGGACAACGCTGGACGCGATTAAAAAAAAGGGACCAGTGAAGGGAAAGGTCTGGAGGGTATCAGGCCAAGACCAAGGAAACCGAACGCACGACCGGCTTAGGCGGCGGTGCTGCAGCGAGTAGCTGTTCGGAGGACGATTTCGACAGAAGACTGCGAAATGTCAGAGAAACGGTCGCTTCGCGTAGCGCAGAAGGATCCGTTTGTGATGTGAAGGTGATTCTTCTTGGATGGAGAAGAAGAAAGGTCGGTGGTGGGAGTTGGGCCGGCCAAGGGAAAAGACGAGAGGAAATTCTTGAGCCGGGTCTTGGCAGGCGAAAGATGGCACACCGGGGTTTTCTCAGCCCCAACTTGCCAACAACACCACTCTCTCTCTTTTGCCCGCATCAGTCAACCCATCAGTCAGCCACTACGTAGTACGAATGCCATTTCCAATACCGGTCTCCATCTCTTCGTGCCAAGCTGTTGTAGTCTTGGCCTTTTCCGACGCCCGCCCAGCCCATCCAGCACAGCACTGACTCCCCCACCGTCACCGTCACCGTCACCGACCGACCACACCAAGCCCGTTGCCACCAGGCGGCGGAGCTACCCACGGCCACT